CATCGGTCCGATGCTCCGCCGGGGGTCCTGAGAGTATACTAGAAGCGCAGGACGGTCGAGCCATCCCTGATCCTGAAGCTTTGTGCTTTGTTTCTGAAAATGCACCGCCTGTGCTTATGATCCCTATGGCCCCTCTGACATTGACCCTAACCCCTGTATCCTAGACTCTAAACCCCTCTGCCGGTAATGGTGGTGGCAAAGGCGCTGTTTCCCTTGCATCCGGAGCAGCAGCAGTTGCACACCACAGACAGGCGGCGGACGAATCAACCAGTTGTAAGTGTTCTACTCACCATCGCTGTGGTGGTTCCTGTATTGGTTCTGCCACCCAGCAACGCAGAGAAGCAGGAAGCAACAACAGAAATCCCTGGGCTGCTTGCTGCAACTGCACTGCAACACACCCTATTCAGGACCCTTCCTGAACCTTGAACCCTTTACCCGAAACACCTAAATCCTAAACCCGAAACCTTTAAACTCCAAACCCCTGAAAACCCAAACTCCAAACCTCCAGAAGCCTGAACTCCGAAAGCCGTAACCCTAAACCCTCGTCTAACTAACGGACCCCATCCCAAAACCTTCCCCCCCGGCCCAATCCTATTTTGGCGGCTCCTTGTTGCACTTAGCCATAGTATGACATACCCCCAAGCCCTAATTAGAGTACAATTTCCCCCCCCCAAAAAAAACACGGAATGAGAGCATCATATACCAGCAAAACCCTAATCAACTACTTCTTTCTGCTGCTTCCACAAGTGATGTAGCTAACATCCCATGCCTATGTGGGGACTCTGTAGGCAGCTGTGTTTACGAGAACTCTTGCAGCATACCGGACTGTATATGAGTGTTCGGCATAAACCCTAACCATAGTACCAAATACACCAAAAAAACCCTACTCTTCCTGAGTTATCCCCTAAACCCTAAACCCTAAACCCTAAACCCTAAACCCAAAACCCAAAACCCTAAACCACCCAAACCCAAACCCCACCGGGCCTACGCTTGTTGCCACGCCCTGAGCTAACGGTCCCGTCGTGACCTCCACGCCGGAGGTTTCGCCTGGGGCTTCGGGCTTTAGGCGATTGGGGGTTTTGGGGTTTTGGGGTTTAGGGTTTAGGGTTTAGAGTTCAGGGGTTTCGGGTTTAGGAGTTTAGGGGTGTTGGGGTTCAGGGTTCAGGGTCGTAGAGTTTAGGGTTCAGGGTTCAGGGGTTTAGGGTTTTAGGAGTTTAGGGATTTAGGGTTCAGGGTTCAGGGTTTAGGGTTCAGGGTCTTAGAGTTTAGGGTTTAGGGTTCAGGGTTTTAGAGTTTAGGAGGTTTGGGGTTTAGGGCTTTTGGGTTTCGGGGCGGCTTAGGTGTTTAAAGTTTAATTAGGGGGTTTTGGGGAATCGGGGTTCAGCGATTTAGGTTTTAAGGTTTTAGGGTTTTAGGGTTTAGGGTTTAGGGTCTTAGGGTTTCAGGGTTTAGGGTTTAGGGATTTAGAGGTTTCGCCTGCGGGTTCGGGGCATCGAGTCGAGGGGTTTAGGGATTCATGGGTGCAGGGCTTAGCGGCTTCGCCTGGGCTGCGAGGGCCGGGGAGGTGTAGAGTTTGGGGCCATAATAATTAGAATAAGCTTTGGGGTATATTATACTATAACTGTAATAAGGACCCCGCCAAAACAGCATAGGTAGTTACTAAGGCGTTTTGGGTTGTAGGTTTACGGTAACCGGCAAGCTAGAGGACTTTCAGGGACCCCTAAACTAATCTCAAAGATTTCTCGTGTTGCAGGCATCCGGCAGAAGATTCATCCGCGTAGTCGAGCACGAATCATTAGCTTCCGAAACCCTAGACCCCAAACCGAAGGAATGTTTCATAACCTCCCTAAACCCTAAACCCTAAATTCTAAACCCTAAACAAGTACAGGACGTTACAGGACGTTGCCGCAACGAGCCTTTACTGCTTTGAAAGCTCTTGAGGCCCAGCTTGCGAGACTTTCGGATACAAGGATCAAGGGGGTTTAGGTTTTGGGGTCCAGAGTGTAGGGCCCTAAACCCTAAACCGTTAGGGTTTAGGGCATATGCAGGAGATTACGGGTTTAGGGAAAAGCCTAAGCCTTCAGCCCTAAAGTCCCACTCCCACTCTGGGGCCGCTTCCATATTCGGGATGCCCGGGTGTCTTGGAGCCCAGTTGCCGAAACTCCTTCACTGGGAACTCTGGCGTTCTGCGGTCAGGTTATAGAGTTCAGAAGTTGCGGGTGTCAAGGTCTACGGAATGTAGGGACTTGAGTAGTAGTAACAAAAGTAGTAGTGGTAGTAGTGGTAGT